TCCTTATTATAAGGACCCCAAAAGAGTTCAGGGTGTTGGGTTTTGGGTGTCTTGTTGTTGTTTCTTGCTCTCTGTTGTTTTTTGAGTTTGCTATGGATCTTATTTTTTTTTCTGCTGTTTCTGTTTAGGTTAGTTCCCGGTTTTTGGGTTTCAGGCTCGGGGTCCTGGGGGTTGTGTTTGCGGGGCCATTGTAGGGTTTGCGGGTTTGTTTGGTTTTAGTTAGGTTTAGGTGTGATCCGTTTCTTGCGCTGGTGTTCCATTTGGTTGGCTTGAGAGAAGCGTGCTTGACAGGGCCTTAAGGGTTCAGGGTTCTGAGTTCTGATTGTGTACTTTAATCAGAGTGTTACAGGGCTGCTCTGCATCAGAATCCATGGTTGGATAGTTAGTTTTAACCTTAGTGTATACCCGTAGTCTACAGGTGTTTGGGCTGTTCCAAATAGGAATCTTGGTGTTGATCTTTGTCCTTGAACTTATTGGGGGCGGGGGGGGGGGGGGGGNNGGCGGGTCGTGCTGTATGGAGACTTCCGTAGCAAATTATCCTATTTTGTTTATGGGTTGTGTACTTCGCTTACAAGGGTCTTTTCAGGCTTGAGGGCTGTTCTACATCATCCGCCTGTTTGTTTTACACCTGTTCTAGGAGGATTTGCAATGCGAGCATTGCATGCTGACACCAACAGCTACAGCATTTACAATGCGTAAGAGTTGAATAGCACTAATCACTCTGAATCGTGTTCCCTGTTTGCCTTTATGGTGCGGTGAATGTCTGTCCAGTCTTCGCTGAGTCATACTTCGGCTCCCCGGCTTCTTGTTGGAGGCATGACGAACTCAGAGACTCCAATATTTCTTGATGAAGGAAGATACCTTAAATCATATTAGGGATCCTACTATAACTTAAGGTTTCTTTCTTAATTGAGGGATATTGGAGTCTCTGACGAAGGCCCTACCATGTAGAGGAACCTCCAGCTCGGGGTATCAGGGCGTCGGCGTAAAGAATCGGACTTGCGCCAACTTGACCTGGAGGCCGAGCCCGCAACCTCTGAAGCTTAGATCGTAAAACTCTGGGCCCCCAAGGCGGTTTAGGGTTTAGGATTTAGGGGTTTAGGGTTTAGGGTTTAGGGTTTAGGGTTTAGGGTTTAGGGTTTAGGGTTTAGGATTTAGGGCCCTGGGCCCCTCAAATCTGTCGGAAAGCCAGGTGATCTGGCTGCTGCGCCACCAGAAGCTGGCAGTTTCCGACTCTGGGTTCGGAAGTACCCAGAGACTCCAATATCCCTTAATTAAGGAATATACCTTAAATTATAGTGGGATCCCTAGTATGATTAAAGGTATCTTCCTTAATTAAGGGATCTTGGAGTCTCTGAGTAGCATACTTTATACTTTAATACGATGTTTTGGGACCTGTTCCCTCAAGGTACCAGTATGAAGCAAGAGTTGACACAATTTTCTCTCTGGTTCTCTAGGCCCTAAACTCTAAAGCCTAAACCCTGAAACCCGAAACCCCAAACCCGAAAACCCTAAACCCTTCAAGAAATCTCTAACTCTGCGAGTTGGAACAGAGGCGCTTAAAACAAAAACCCTAAACCCTTAACCCTAAACCCAAAGTCTTCAAAGCCCAGGAATGGATGTCCTTCCTGGCTGAGGGCCCGGGAGCTAGGACGGATGCCGGTTCCCACATGGGTTTAGGGTGTAGGGTTCAGGGTTTAGGATTTAGGGTTTAGGGTTTGGGGTTTATACAGGGATCTATAAGGGTTTCTATAAGGGTAGTTCTCTACAGTGGCGTCCCTTTTAGGGATCTATAACGGTTTCTATAAGGGTAGTTCTCTAAATTAGAGTCCCTTCTAGAGTCCTGTTTGCAAGGGTGCCGCCTTATTTTGGGTCCCTCACAAGGACCCTTATTTAGAGAACTACCCACGTGCAGGGGCTGGGTGTGCGGCGTGCAAAAGAGTAGTAGAGTAGTTAAAGCAGTTTAAATTCCTAAACCCCTAAACCCCAAACCCTAAACCCACAAACCCTAAACCCCAAATCCCCTAAACCCTAAACCCCCAACCCCTAAACCCTCAAGCCCTAAACCCTCAAGCTCTAAACCCTAGACCGTGCAACTCCAGGATCAATTCTCCGCTCTTCTCGCAGCACCTGGGTGTTCTTCGATCCTCGCCGGTGGCATCCCGGCGCAAGAGTGAACTGAGTTTCCAAAAATTAGGGTACCTTATTTGGGGGTCCTTATAATAAGGATCCTATTATTTAGGGTACTATATTCGGGTCCCCTATTCTCGTTCCTAGGGTTTAGGGTTTAAGGTTCAGGGTAACTTCGCTGGCTTAGGGCTTGGAGCCTTGGCTAGGGCTTCTGGGTTGTGGCTGTTTTGTTGCCACTCAGTTTTTGGTGATGGCGATAAATGAGCCTAATGCAAGTCAGGATTACTATAATGGCAATTGCTGCAGTATCAGTGGTGTCATTATTCGTTTCACTCTTATTCTTCTGAGTATGATGCTTTGTGTCCAGTAGTGCTGCAGCTGAGTATTGTTGTCCTCTCTCTCATGCCCGTTTCTCATCTTCCTGAGTTGTGCCAGGAGGCATTGGTGTTGTTTTGAGTATTGCCGTTTTATGACTGCCTTCCTGAGAAGAAGAGGATGATGATTATGATGCTAATGGTGATGGCGGGCGTATCCTAAACTCTAGACAGGCCATGAACCGTAACTTCCATCTCAATCGCCCAGATTTCATACGGTCTTACCTTGTAGTTCAAGGAGGTTCGCACACTTTGCGAGCTTCTGTCGGCAGCAGGCTTTCTTATGCTGCTGGTCAGGAAGCCCGCGCACTAGCAAAGCGGAGATCCAAACACCTGAACTATCGGGTTTAGGGGGTTTAGGGTTTAGGGTAACAACCCCAAACCCTAAACCCTAAACCCTAAACCCTAAACCCTAAACCCTAAACCCTAAACCCCAAACCCCAAACCCTAAACCCTGACCCCGAAGCCCCAAGCCTTCTAAACTGTAAACCCCTCATCCGGGCGTTCGCTGTCTAAGGATATCCCATGTAAAGTTAGTCTGGTTTAGGGTTTAGGGTTTAGGGTTTAGGGTTTAGGGTTTAGGGTTTAGGGGGCCCGAAGCCCGTCCCAAACTCCTAAGCCCTCAATGCCAGACCCGAAATAGGGGCCGTAAAGCCGTCGCCTCTTGCATTGAGTGCCACTAAGGTCCGAGACCTCGTTTTCGGTGCCTTCGATGACGCGGTGGGGGCGGTAGGCTCGCAGACAGCTGTCGGCCGAGTTTCGAGTTTGTGGGCTTTAGGGTTTGGCGTGGGGTTTTGGAGTTTGGGGCTTCAGGGTACGAGTTTAGGGCTTCAGGGTTTTCGAGTTCAGGGCTTCAGGGTATTAATTGTGGCTTAAGGTACCCACGAAAAGCAGGTTGCAGTCTGACCCTGTTGTGCTGTGAGCACTGAGGGTTTGTGGGAAGAGGATGGTTCCGGCGCAGTGTGCGGAGTGTTCGGGTAAAGTATGTCGGATCACAGAGGTCTAGAGTCTGGAGCGCATGGACTGAGGTGTCTAGAGTTTTGGCGGCAATGGTGGGTGCAGGGGTAAAGGTGCTCGGGTTTGAGTGCGTTGTTTTGGTGTTCGATTCAGGGTTGGCCCAAGTCTGGCATGTTGAGGATCTTTAATTAAGTCTGCAAGACTTTCAGAGCTTAAGCCCCGCTTTGCAAGCAAGGGCTTACCCTGAGGCCACACCGCATTTAATTCTAAACCTGCACATCCTTGCAACTCGAAAACTCAACCTCGAGCAGGCGAACAGCTGCTGAAGAATCTCACCGGCACCCTCACGGCAGCGTGCATCAACCCGGAGATCATGCTGAGGCGAGGGAGTCTGGTTAGGGTTTAGGGTTTAGGGTTTAGGGGGTTTCTGGTCGAAAGGGAGGTTTGCAGGCTCAGCAGTGCTTTTCCTAAACAAAACCCACGACGCTCATCTCGGGAACGTCGTACTCATAGTAGTAGGCCACCCTTTCCAGGAACGTACCCTCATTTCGCGGCATGATGGGGCTCTCTGGTTCCTAGAATCGTCTTGGGTTTCTTATTATAATTTCTTTATATAAGTCCTCAAAATGGTAGGTTATTTGGGGTTAAGGTAAACCCTAAACCCTAAGACAGTATCAGACCTTCTGCAACCCTCGTCCTAGACATGATTCTCGTTAGTGCGGGCTTCTCACGTGGCTTTGGGCCGCTCAGAGAGACCCCACTCTAGGGGTTTAAATAATTACCTATGCGAGTTTGGGGGCTTCCGAACCGTATAATTATAGTATAATGGGCCCCAAAACCCTATTCTAATTATGAAGGCCCCTGCAAAACTCCATTGGATTGGAGATCACCCAAAGTCGTCAAGCTTCACTCAGAACACCGGTTGAACCCCGATAATATAAGCGCCTCAATAATTACCTATATTATTTTGGGGGGTTCCTTCTTGTATTTATAGTATAATGGCACCCAAAACCCTATTCTTATTTTTAAGGCCCTTGCATTAACCGCCTAAACCTTCAGGCACGCTACTGCCCTGACCCCGAACCTCCACGCCCCAAGTGCCAAATCCTCGTCACCAAGCGCCGCCAATCCTCACACCCTCTAAACCCAAAGCTCTAGCCTACAATCCGAACCCTAAGCCCTAAATCTTAAGCCCTGGACCCTTCCCCCGAAGGCCCTAAACCCTCAAGCCTGAACCCTAAGCCCTAAAGCCCAAAAACCCTCCCCCTCCGAACCCAAAGCCGTCCAGGCCGAGGACGGAACCCGACCTTGTGCCCAAGGACAAGGCGGGTCGGTGCGTCGAAGCTTTGGGGGCCCTGGCTTAGGGTTTAGGGTTTAGGGTTTAGGGTTTAGGGTTTAGGGTTTAGGGTGCAGGGCAAAATAGGGGCTTAAATTACTGCTTTTGGGGTTGCAGCGCTCTAATTTTTAAGCTCTGGGGGGTTTAGAAGGATTTGGAGCTTCAAGCTTTATAATTACAGTAGGTTTAGGGTTTAAATAACTACCAATACTATTTTGGAGGGTTCCTCTTTTTACTTGTCGTATAATGTACACCGAAACCCTATTCCATTCATAAAGGCCCCTACGTTAGTGGAGTTAGTGTTCAGGGTTGGGGTTTGGGTTTAGGGTTCAGGGTTTAGGGTTCAAAGATTTAGGGTTTAGTGTTTAGGGTTTCCGTTTCACGGGCTAGGGTTTACGGTTCAGGGTTTGGGCTGTAGGGGCGGAATAATTACCACTAGTATCCCCTTATAGTCCCTTTTAAAAGTGTTATAGTATGAAATACCGATTCCCAACCCCAAAAGAAGAACACTATTCAAACTAGTAAAGCGCAGATGTTAGAACCTGTATACACCGAGTGCTAAACCGCAAACACTATAAATCCTGACACTAAACCTTAAACCTTCAAATCCTACAGCCGAAACCTTCAGACTCAAAGCCCCTAATCCTCAAAACCCAACAGTCGACTTTCAACCCTAAGCCCTAAACCCTAAACCCTAAGCCGGAACCCCGAAAGCCGCGAAAACCCCAAACTCTGGGCAACCCCAAGAGCCTCAACCATGAGATTGAAAAAAGGGGTCTAGGGTTTAGGGGTTTCGGGGTTCAGGGTTTAGGGGCCCCAAGCACCAATCTTTAAACCCTAAACCCCAAGACTTAAAGCCTAAATGGCTACGGCTCAAGGTACATAACTAAGTTCACTAGAAGAAAGAGAAGAAGGATGAAATAAACCGAATGAACCAGCTTCGGGAGCGTACCTGCTCGAGGATACAAGACAATGCAGCAGGCATGTCAAACATGCCCATCTCTCATCATGTTCGGCAGCAGCTGCCCTACTACCTGTACTGTGAGGTTGTATGGTCGATCGAGAGGATTGTCAGCGACCACAGGCCTAATGCTGTGCACTTCTGTGCTTGGGAGTTCTTAAAGGAGGCAACTCAACGATCGAGCTTCATAGCTTTCAAGATCTTGCTGGTACCATCACCATCACACATTGCCGAGCCTGATGAAATGAGCCTCCCTGTTCGCAAGTTCTGGACTTGCAGTGTGGTCCCACTGCTAATGATCCCAATGAGCTCTATCAGGGTCCAAAGCCCTGGGACGCTAATCTGTGGGATGAAAGACGTGGAGGCTGCGTTTAGGGTTTAGGGTTTTGGGGTTTAAGGGTTTAGGGGTTTAGGGTTTAGGGCTTTAGGGGTTTAGGGTTTAGTTGTTTAGGGGTTTAGGGTTTAGGGGCTTAAGGTATAGGGGTTTAGGGTTTAGGGGTTTAGGGTATAGGGGTTTAGGGGTTTAGGGGTCTAGTGTTGAGGGGTTTAGGGGTTTAGTGTTCAGGAGTTTAGGGTTCAGGGGTTTAGGGTTTAGGGGTTTAGGGGTTAGGGGTTTAGGATTGAGGGGTTTAGGGTTTACTGGTTTAGGGTTTAGGGGTTTAGGGTTTAGCGGTTCGGGTTTAGGGGTTTAGGGTTTAGGGGTTTAGGGTTTAGGGGTTTAGGGGTTTAGGGGCTTAGGGGTTTAAGCTTTAAGGGTTTAGGGTTTAGGGGCCATTAGGGGCTCGGGTTTAGGGCTTCGGGGGGTCAGGGGTTTAGGATTTAGGGGTTTAGGGTGGGTTTAGGGTTTACTGGTTTAGGGTTTAGGGGTTTAAGGTTTACTGGTTTAGGGTTGAGGGGTTTGAAAGGTTTAGGGTTTAAGATTTTTTTTAGGGGACCCAGACCCTAAAACCTTCAAGCCATAAGCCCTTGCAAGACCCTGCGGAACCCTCAAACTCTGCACCCAAGACCCGAAGCTCTAAAAGCTCCATGAGAACCCTGATGAAACCCTAAACCCTCCCAGCAGGTTCACGAACAGGGGTGGTTTAGACTCGTTTTTTTCGGGATTTCGTGT